TCATGACTGGACCTCCTGGAATGTGTAATGAATCTCTTGACATGGTACCTGTGGGGTCATCTTGATTCCCATCATGATGTGCCAAAAACTACCTTCCGTACCCACTATGGCCACTATGAATTTTTGGTTATGGCTTTTGGCTTAATAGATGCTTCTGCAAGATTCATGGAGTTGATGAATCGGGTACTTAGTAGGTACCTGGACAAGTTTGTGGTCATCTTCATTGATGACATTTTAATATACTCCTCTCTAGCCATGCCCTTCATGAGGACCTAAGGACAGTTCTCGAGACATTGAGAAGAGTGAGACTGTTTGCTAAATTTAAGAAGTGTGAATTTTGGCTAGATAGTGTTGCATTCCTTAGTCACGTTATGACTAAGGATGCGATTACTGTTGACCCAAAAAATGATTGAGGCTATATAATTGATTGGAAACAACCGAACAGTGTTGCAAAAATCAGTAATTTTCTAGGTTTGGCTAGTTACTACCACTGATTTGTGAAGGATTTTTCCAAAATTGCTTTGCCAATGATTCATCTTGTCAGGAAGGGCACCAAATTTGAGTGGACTCCAAGGTGTGAGAAAAGCTTTTTGATCCTTAAGGAGAAGTTGGTCACTACTCCTATTCTTGCAGTTCCCATCAATGGGGAAGGATTCACCATATATAGTGACGTCTCTAAAAAGGGTCTGGGATGTCTCTTGATGTAGGAAGATAAGGTTATTGCATATGCTTCATGGTAATTAAAGCCTTATGAGGAAAATTACCCTATCCATGATCTAGAGTTGGTAGCTGTGGTATTTGCACTCAAGATCTAGAGGCATTATCTATACGATGAGACTTGTGAAATTTTCATCGATCATAAGAGCCTTAACCACATTTTCGCTCAAAAGTAGCTTAACATGAGGCATAGGCGATGGCTTAAAATTTTAAAGGATTATGACTTGACCATTAGCTACCATCCAGGTAAAGCCAACAAAGTAGCAAATGCGTTAAGTAGAAAGTTCTTTGGCACTGCCTTTAGCATCCTTGCCACCGAGAAGGGGTTACTTGAGATGTTGCTAAACTTGATGTGGAATTGAGATTGGATAGTACTAAAGCCTATCTAGCTGCTCGTAGTGCACAACCAGCATTGATAGATAGAATTAAACTTGCTCAACAAAAAGATCTTTTCTTGCAAAGGTTGAAGGAAAGGGTAAAGGCAAGGGAACCACACATGCAAGAATTCAGAGTTTCGGATGATGGAACCCTGTGGTTTGGAGAAAGGTTGTGTGTACCAAGAGATCATGCCTTAAGGTGATACGAACTATGCCAACCTGTGACGAAACCCGTCAACAAGACAAAGCACCAAAACTGTTTCTAAGACAAGTTCGAGAGGATGGAACCGCGACCCATTATCTATGATGAGGTAAGAACCTTGGTATCGAGAAGATGCCACAATCAATTATGGAAGGGTTGATTGATAAATCGGGGATGAACGCCATGGAGAATTCCAATAAGTTTGAAAAGTTGTTCAAAGAACCAGAGAGAATTCATTCCTACAATGTTGGTGAATAATGATGGTTAAATACCCTTTTTGGTCCCTCTACTATAGTAAAAAGCCCCTTTTTGGTCCTTGTACCGAAAAAATCCCTTTTTTGGTCCTTACTGTTCACAAATCCGGCCCCTTTTTTGTCCCTCCGTTAATTTTTGCTTACATGGCACGTTAACTTAACGGGAACAGCTGATGTGGACTTAATGATACCCTCCACGTCACCCTCCACGTGCCGGAAAAAGAAAAAGAAAAGGTTAAATGCTAAATTTGATC